TGAGTTCTATTGTGAGATGCTTCTTCCCACTCATTCGGCATGTTCATCCCCTTTAAGTTTTCGTGGAAAATGTCCTTGCATCTTTTGAGTTGTCCACCCGGCCTCCTCTTACCGTCTACAAGCTCACCGTAAAGCAAAGATTTTGGTATGCGGTTTTCTTGCATTCTGCATACGTGACCAGCCCATCTTAAGCGGGATTTTGTAACCATGACTCCAGTGCTCATGCAGTTACTTTTTCAAGGACCGTTACGTTTGAGGCATGATAGAACCATTTGATTCTTAAGAGTTGTCTAAGGCGTCCCTGTTGCAACTTCATGTGTCGGCGGTTAGGTTTCGCTCCCATACAAAATGGTGGTGATTATTATTGCTCGGTACACTGCAAGTTTCGTTTTTGTGCTCAAGTCATTTTAGAATTTAGAATGAGTGGGAGGGGGGTTAATCACTCCGACCTTACAGATCCATTGTGTCCCCCTTTCTTGAGTTATAACTCATCATACAGTCCCAGGGCTTTGACAAAAGCCAGTATCTGGGACGGTTTTATAGAGGGTAGTTCTCCATCTCCAATATCAGTCGTACCAAAATTCATGGTACGAATGGTTGTCGTCTCGGCGCACTCAGTGATGAGGTGTACTGGTGTTTCCCCATCTTCCCCACAAAATCTGCATTCGCCGTTTTTTCTTAGTTTCAATCTACTGAGGTGTTCATTGAGGAGACAGTGTCCTGTTAAAAACCCCGTGACAATCCAAAGTTTGTTCTTACTTAAACCCAGGAAGATCTGTGATTTTTCTTGATCATAAGCCCTCAGAAACTTCTTCGAGTGTCTTAGACCGTTGCAAGATTTCCATTCCAGGTTGCGGAGGGAATCTTCCAAGTTCTTGAGTTCCGCCTTGAGTTGGTTACCACTTGGAAAGCAGAACGGTTCTGGTCCAGTTAGTGGAGTGTTCGCTCCTTTCCTAGCTAGATTATTTGCTTTTTCATTGCCTTCTATCCCTTGGTGAGCAGGCACCCAGAGTAGGAGGACTTTGTTTTCTTTGCCTAATTTATTCAGCTTCTCTATGCATTCTTTGACCAATTTCGAATTGATTGATACTGAGTTGATCGCTTTTAACGCTGCTTGACTATCAGACAAGATGGCTATTTCTTGTTTCCGATAGTTCCTATCTAAGATAAGTTGTACGCATCTTTCTATAGCGTAGATTTCTGCCTGTGGAGGATACTAGGGTAAGTGCCCATTGGTTCGGAGTATTTAGCTCTCGGCCCAAACACTCCGATCCCTGTTCCCGTATTGGTTTTGGAAGCATCAGTATACCAAGTTATGGTATGGTTTTTTAACTGCTGGGCAAGCGTTTCGCTCTTCCAATCCTTTTTATTGCTCAATACTACATTGAGATGTTTCTCAAAGTTGTACGTTCTTGGCATATCGTCCACTGGGAGTTGCAGGAGTGGTATTTCCTTTTTGAGGGTGTGCTCAAGTCATGGTTGTAGAAAACCCTGACTTTTAATTTCCAGAACGCTCTTGAGGCGCTTCTAATCCTGTGCTGAATTTCAGAGTCGATTTTGGCCTTCAGGCATATGACAAAGTTAAAAGGACGGAGTTGTTTAGAGCATTAACAGAATTAAGGGTTAGCAAGTAACTGACCAAGATAATAAAATTGACACTCCAAGAGACAGTAAATGAAGTCAAAATAACAAGAAAACAACGGAATTTTTTTTTAAATCAGGAACGGATTAAGACAGGGGTGTCCACTATCTCTAGTACTGTTTAGTGTATTATGAATCAACAGAGAGGCCCTTCTGTATACAAAAAGACACCAATGTTTAGCCTTTGCAGATGATTTAGTTATCTTAGCAAGAGATCGGAAAGAGCTGATATCAGTGACCAAAAGACTAGAATATCAAGCGCAAAAAGTAGGCTTAGTGTTTAATGAGAAGCAAACGAAATTTATGGAGTGGTCAGATACGGATTTTGAGAAAGGAAGATGTCTACAAATAGATTCTGAGAGAGGAAAACGTTACAAGTTTGATGAAGTAGATACACTCTCATACCTAACATATGACAGTGTATACACTCTCATATGGGTGTAGATACACTCTCATATCTCAGATATATTCTCATATCTAAGAGCCGTATTTCTAAGGGTGCGTTTATGTTTTATGAGCGGCTAATATTATTATATTAATTTATATGTAGGTGTTTATATTGGAGCAACGCGTCGAGACACGGTTGGCAGTTGAGCAACGATAAGAGCAGCGCTAATTAACTGCTTTTATCGTTTATTGCAGCTCCAACATAAACGTACCCTAAGGAAGCGCAAGAATAATGGCAGGAAATAGATGTGTTAGCGCACTACAGAAAATTATTAAGAGTATGCACATCTCTAGAATTTAAAAAATCAGAATGTACCAAACAATGATACGACCAATTAAATAGTGCTGTATGCATGTGAAACGTGGACGTTTAATGTAACGGAATGTTCGAGGCTAGAGATTTGGGAAAGAAAAATACTAAGGATGATTTTTGGAGGAAAGAAGATAGACAACATATGGACCAGAAGAACAAATGAAGAATTAAAGCAACTATATCGAGCACCGAGTATAACGGGAGTAGCAAGAGCACAAAGAATGAGATGGCTGGGACACATTGAAAGAATGGCTGAAGCATCAATTCCTAGTATGATAATAAAACGTGAAATGACAACCAGATGGAAAAAGGATGTTGAAGAGGTACATTATTGATCGTTTAGTACAAATATTAAACCGAACGCTTTTATTTCTTTGTTTTTCTTTAATATTTCAGCAAAACTGTAAATGTTTACTTTAAATTAACCACTGTTTAAAGAAGAATATTGACGTTGTTTCTCCTATATGCTCGAAAACACATCATATATCAAACATAAACATTTTTAACGATGTTGAAAATACAATAAATATTACCATATATGTACGTAATTCACCAAAATGTTCTCTGTTATTATAAATTTAATTACCAATAATAAACCCTTTTATTGTTTTGTTAGTTTATAATTAACAATTTATTGATGTAATTTACTATTCGACATAACGGTTTACAAAGGGATGTAAATAATTTTATTGTTTACTTTGGTGTAGTAAAATAAAGCTGAAATAATAAATAATAAATTTACTGGTTTGTATTTAATTATGTATTCAACTAGACAATTGCCAATTTTAATACAAGCAATATACAGGATGGTCAAGTTTTATAGCAAAATTTTAGCAGCCATATATCAAACAGCTTTTATCAAAAAGCTTTTCTTATCTCTATAGAAAAAATATTAAATTTAGCAAGAAAAATTCGATAAGGTCGTTTTTTTCCATTCAAAAATTTTTAACAACCCATCAATTTACTTTTAGTACATGGCAACTTTCAGTAATCATGTAACTTTTTTATTTAAAAATATTTTCACATACTGTTTGCGAAGAAAATATAGCAGAAATGAAAGAAAGTTTTTGAAAAAACTACAGTCAATTGTTTTTAATAGATTTTGAGATGTCGATTCATTTTGAATTCAGAGTTCTAATAGCGCGACCACTGTCGAACACCAACTCAATTCCACTTATTTTTACCAAAAATGTAAGTGTTTCTAACTTGCACTTAAAAATTTTCAAGCTCTGGGGAAAATTACAAAGTCTCGTTAATAAATAAAGAAATGAAGTATCGCGAGACGTAAGACGTAATTAAATCGTGAAGCCGAACGCATGATGTACAGGGTGTCCCACTAAGAATAGCTCTCGGCTGTATCTCGGAAAGTATTAGCCGTAGGGCCTACGGAAAAAAATATTTTTAACTAAATGAGCTATGAGAAATTGCTGGAAATTATTTTCAAGTTTGTAAAACGGCCGCTAGAGCTGTTATGGAAACTGTTATGGAAAATAAGAAAATAGAATTTTTACAGAATTTTGCATTGATAATGGGTACTATAAATAGTAGCTTCATAATCTTCAGTAAATTTTGAGTTTTTTTTATTACAACCATTTTCCCATATCTGCTAAAATAAAGTGGTGGGGAAAGGTTAGATCTATCTTTATTTAAATATTAATAATTCCGGACTGGATGATCAGAATCCAATAAAGGAGGGCTCGTTTAAAAGAGCGTTTCTTACTCCATATTATACCGTAAAAATAATAATAATAAGGTTTTGAACATTGACGCTAGGGGACGCTTTCTTACAATTTAACAGATATAGCGCGTTTTTTTTTAAATATATACGATAGAATATGTAATTTTAGCTGATAGTAGAGTAGTAAAAACTTAAAAAGTCAGCAAAAATCTTGATATCTTCTTTAAAACCGAAGATATTAGCAAAATTATAATAAATACCAAAAAATAAGCGCGTAATTACCTTATTTTTACGACACGGTATCAGTAGCCCTCTTGGTTATGCCCATTCTAACAAAAAATAATATAAAAATAGTTAGTTTATTCTAAAATCGACAAAATACCAGAATACCATAATACCAGATGTATTAATAGCTAACAATTAAGATATTAAGAACGGCGAACAAGAAACGATGATTCAGTGAAGTCATGGTAGGCTTTGGAAAAAAGTTGCTTTTGACGTAATAGTATAAACGTCAAATTGTTATTAGAACAATATTTTGATGGTCTTTTATCTTTTGATTGCTTTTTCAAAATGCCAACAACTTCAACTACTTCAAATAATAAAGGCATTATTAAAGGCAGCTTAAAATATATAGGTTTCGAAAATATCTCCTGTTTGTGGCATACAGTTTCCATTTTGTGTCAAAAAACAGACACAATTATTAGAAACATTGCCTAAAATGTGTCCAAAAATAATAATGATACATATGATATATAATAATGATGGCATCTTAATCCCTGTTAATAATGTCAAGTTATGACCAAGTTATTACTATATTTATGGCTTACGTAACCAAAACAATATAAGCTTATATTAATTCAGTAAGAAATAAGGGATTTTCCTCACAGTGTACTAAAAATTCCTCTCTCCTGTTTCTAGGTGGAATGCAGCGACGGCCAGATAGGCTACGGCCGTAGGAAAAGGGAGATTTCTTCTTTGCCGGCCGATCCCAACAAGATATTCGAGATCACGATCACGTCCTTCATTAAAGTCAACTACGACGACGACAGCGAGAACTTCGAGGAGATCGTGAAAAACCAGACGAAAATGTACAACAATAAGAAGTTGATCGTGGGCAACCAGCTAACGGATGATGTTAGGCAAGTTTTCCCCTTTGTTTTTTAGCCAATTTTCCAGGTTATTGGCCAAGTTTTCGATTGGTTTAGATTTTTTTTTCTGTCCTTTACGCACAGAGAAGTCGACTGTCCCCAGGAAAACACAGTATACAGGGTGACAATTTGAAAACGATCAGTATTTAATATCGCCTCTACCGATGATAGTATGAAAATTTGGCGAAACACGTCAATTTACATATCAAGGGGGACAATTAATAATAAGAATATTTTTCTAAAAAAAGCATGTACGCCACTGACTTTTTTTTCTTTTGTTAGCGAAATAGTGTAAGCAGTTTAATGCCGATTAAAAGTCGTCTCTTAATATTTTGTCGATTTCGGCCTCCTTGATGAGATAAACGCAATTCTTGTTAATTTGCCTTGATCCACGTCTAATAGCAACATTTAAAAAATTTAATATCATTAACTTGCGAAAGTTTTACATAAGTACTCATTGATTCCTCATCAAAAAATATGAAAAAAAGCTCCTATAATAATGGGTATGGAAATGCATAATTTTAGAATTACAGGATGTTAAATCTTTTAAAAATTATTTTTTTTTGTAATTACCTTAAATACCATTACATTTTATTTTTATTTTAATTCTCCCCACGAGAGATGGTACATTTTGAAACACCCTGTATAATATCTATTTTTGCAGATTCTTCAGGACAGACGAGCCAGAAGTCATCCAAGAACTCAAGGAAGAACAAAAATACACGTCCATAGTAGCAGAGAGCTCAACTTCACTTCTAAATGCTCATCACTCAACAATTTTGCTCATACCGTTGATCAAAATTCTCTTCTTTTAGTTGAAATTAAAAAAGACACTGAAAATACTCACTAAAACTTTATACAACGATAAAGAAAATAACGAAATATAATAATTAATCAATTAACATCAAAAAATGTACCTATAATACCTATAATTTTGACTCTTTAATGTAATTTATTTTTTTAACTGAGTTATCAAAAAAAATTACAAAGAAATGTAACATATATATTATCTACATCTGAAACGTGCATTAATTATTTTAAAACAACGATATTATAAGTTTTGTACATAATATGTCCCAGATTTTCATTTTGTATTTATTATTATATGTTTTTTTGTATATACGTCTGTGATAATGTAGAATACTGGGTGTTAACTAATGTGTGAATTACCACAAAAAAAATGTATTTCAACTTCGGACTTCTTATATAAAGGCGATAAGTACATACAGGGTGACACCAATTTTTCGAAATAGCTAACTTTTTACTTATTTTAAAAATATGTCTGCATATACAGGGTGATTTGTGCGAGTCTTTAAGCGATTGTTTAATCCATAATATGGCACAACGTCAAGATTTACACAAGCTAAAAATTGTTTTTAAAAAGCTTTTGTTAAAATTACGCCTTTACATGAGAAGTCCAACAGCATATACCGGGTGTCCAGGTATTCCGTATACATAAAAGTATTACGTACTTTTGTAATAAAAATAAGGGGAGTTAATTAGACACAACTTTCTTCTATACCTTCTATAAGTGATTCAATTAGAGGGCACAAATCTCATTCAAATTTAATTTTCGGTTTTTCAAATATCAAGAAATTTGTTTATTTCTTTAAAATTTAATGCATTTTGGTATACAATTACATAAATTGTATTGAATTAACTAATTTTGATTCAAAAACATGTAGTAGTTCTATGTCTACATAATATTGGCACACTCTTTATTTATTTTAAACTTAGATCAAGCAATAAAAGATTGAAACACCCTGTACATATTACAATAATTACAATATTTTTTTCATTAAACACGTCATTTCTGTTTCAGAATATTTTTTTCTTTGATTTTGTAAATCTTTAGCATTCTTTTATATCCAGATTAAAATTAATCAAAAATTTTCAATTTTATATGCATAGTTTTTCCTTGACTGAAAACGAATACAATTATTATTGATCTTTATATTATATACTGCCAGTGTAATTACAATATTTTTTTAAAAATTTCATGTATATACACGGTGATTTCCTTAACTTGGATTAAATTCAGTTAATCAATCATATTTATTTTATTTTTTTGAAAATATGCGGAAATTAGTCATGCCATTTTGAAAAATTGTCGATCTCCGAAATTTAGGAGACGCTATATAAATTTTTCTTTTCTGAAAAACAGATAGGTATGTATCTTTGATTTACTGTATTTAATCTAAGTTATAGAGAACTACCCTGTATAAAAAAAAATAAATTGCTTTAGTTTAACTTACAAAAATTAACTGAACTAGTCTGCCTCTCTTGTATTTTTCTTCTAATAATTTTTAATAAAAATAGTTCGTATAACAAAAATTGTTTTTTTTTAACTTTTGCTACTGCCAAATACCAGCTGTCATATGACGCTGACATGGCTAGATATGATCTGTAAATTATTCATATATCTACCGGAAAATTATAATTCAATATTTTTTTTATGCCGATTTAGTCTATTATAATAGTAGTATTATGCCAATTTCCATTGTGGAAGCCTAGCCTTCTCCAGATTCATAGATAATACAAGAAAAAAAAATATTATTGATACTCTATAATTAGGTACACATAGGCATTACAATAGGCACAGTTCATAGCAAATAATTTTTTAGTCACGTGATTAAGCTTGACCGGTACAGTAGATACAGTAGAAATAGCTCGGTATCTGGCTGTAGAAGTGGTACTTCAATGAAAAAAAAAGCGAAGAAAGAAAAGTAACCCAAAACTTTTAAAAGCTCCTAATGTAAGTAATATGATTATTTATTTAAAAAAAATTATGATAGATGTTAAGAAAAACATTAAAATTATATACTATCAGTGTACAGATTTATTTAAAAATCATATTAATAGAGAATATAGCCCAAAATCGAACATCTGCATGACATAACCTAGAGAGCCTAAAATAATAATAATTTAATACTTTAATATCTACTAACATGTTATTATACAGGGTGTTTCAAAACAAATGCGAAAAACTGTAGGGGGTGATTCCTTGTTCAAAATAAAGGGTAGTTTGCTTTATAAACGCTGGGTCAAAAGTCAACCATTAGGGAGATATCGCGGTACAAAGATGGCGGAAAAATAATGTTTTTATTTTTTATCTTGAAAACGAAAAGAGATAGACTAATGAAATTTTATGGAAGCATTACTGTTATGAAAACACACTTACAGGTAATTTTTTTACTTTTTTAAAATGAGTAGAAGGGGTTGAAATAAACTACCCCTATCATTCTTGTTAACGAAATTTAAAGAAAAATCTTATCAAACACATGCAAATGCTTTAATTTGGATAGTTTAGTTTGTTTAGAAACTTTTTTACCTCTTGTGTTTTTTTGATAAAACTCACCATTCGAAATTTTCAAATTTTCAAAAATTCAAATCACATTGGAAATTAAAAAATAAAATGTAAAGCATGTCAGGACAAAAAACATTTTTAGATTAAGAACCTAGTGATAATAACGATAATAATAATCATCTAGATAATAACGTATTGCAGTAGAGTAATGTCAAATAAAATAATATTAGGAACATCCTAAAAAGTAACAGCGGCCGATTAGATTTTTTCCTAAAAAAATTACAGCAGCCCACTAGATTCTTTATCAGAAAATATTTCTGTCCTGACATGTAATGCTTTACATTTTATTTTTTAATTTCAAATCGGTGAGTTTTATCAAAAAAATACAAGAGATAAAAAAGTTTCTAAACAAACTAAACTATCCAAATTAATTTTTTTGCATGTATTTGATAAGATTTTTCTTTAAATTTCATTAACAAGAATGATAGGGGTAGTTTATTTCAACCCCTTCCACTCATTTTAAAAAAGTGAAAAAATTACCAGAAAGTGTGTTTTCATAACAGTAATGCTTCCATAAAATTTTATTAGTCTATCTCTTTTCGTTTTCAAGATAAAAAATAAAAACATTATTTTTCCGCCATCTTTGTACCGCAATATCTCCCTAATGGTTGACTTTTGACCCAACGTTTATGAAGCAAACTACCCTTTATTTTGAACAAGGAATCGCCCCCTAAAGTTTTTCGCATTTGTTTTGAAACACCCTGTATATGTCCTACTAGGTGTTTAAATTACCTGTTATTAAATAAGTAGGTATTAATAATATATATTAACAACCATTGCTATTAAATATTATAGAAAGTGAATATTAAACATTATTTACACTTCAAAAATGTAGTTTCAAAATAACAGCTACTTCGAATAGTGAAAAATATTTTTTTAAATTTATTTAATAATTGGGCATATCTCTTTTACTAGGATGACTAGGATCCTAGCATCGACAAAGAAGAAAGACATCCTAACTTGCTACAGCATTGGCAAAGTGCAGTTCCCCAGACAAAATAATTCACAGTAGTGATGTGTTTTATGCACTTATTTAGACAAAATTAGTTGACGGAACTATCAGTAGATAAGGGTAGATAATTTATTTTACTATTAGTAGATAATTTCTTTATTGTATATTCAGGTGTATATTACATTTATTAAATTTAGCTACTTGGAGTTAGTCAATTAATCAAAATAAAAGTTATGTATTTATATTCCTAAATAAATAAATTTAATGTTTCAATGCTTTCAATGTTTCCTGTAAGCCTATTTTTTAATGTAGTTTTTAGAGAAGGGTTTTTACCACGTTGAGTAAGTTCTTTCTACTTGATGACTTTTATAGCCCTTTTTTCTGTAACATGTATTTCCATTTCAGTGTCATGAGGATGGAATAAATAAAGATTGACCATTAACAAAGTGTATTAATTGTAGTCCAAACCCTTCCAACTGCAACCCCACTAGTTCCTAGATTTTCTTTCTCACTAGTCAGTCGATACTACTCATAGAATGTATACACTAGGAATACATACAATATGATCGAAAATACGGCGTCAGCGATCATTTTATATATAAAATTATGTGGGGAATGTCATAGATGTTCATTTCCCAGCCAACTGGACGCCGTTTTTTTCGATCATACACGTTAGTCCTTGACTTATTATTTTATTTACAAACCTACCTCCTACTCGTATTAATAAAAAAGTGGATATCAACAGAAGGACCTTTAATTACAGATCAAATCAAATGTATACATATGTATTTATAACATAATTGTTAGGTGACATTGAACGTTACATACATCTTCAATTTAAATGCCTGTGAAACAGTCATAATTGGCAAAACTTTGCTAATGACATCAGAGATGACATTAAAACTTACAATTTAGAAAAGCTAAAAAAAAAGTAAAAAGTTACGAGATACACAACACCAATCAAACAAGATAAGTGCAATGTTTATATTATATAAATTCCTGATTCATTTTCGTCATTCATTTGTTGTAATTTGTCATAAACCACTAATAGTTTAAAAGTTTTTAATGTTTATTATTAGTATCACAATGAACTGCCGTAAACATGTCCAAGTGTTTTCACAAAAAAAATTGAAAAATTATGAAACTTTAAACTGCATCAGCAAAATTATTAATAAATCACTAACACACTCACATCATAAACTATTTAATTCACATTTCTTATCAAGGAACAATTACTGTTTACATCAAATCAAAGGTTGAACTGGTGATAGGTTTGTTGCTGGAACTTCTATATTTTGTGTACTCCAGTTGAAGGAAACATTTACTTTAGCAGTATATATTTTTCTTCGACCGTGTATGCACTAAATAGAACCCCATAATAAGACATTTTTATAATAAGAACTTAGGAAAAGAATATCTAAAACTGGCATCTGATATAACCTAACTAACTTTTCAAACTCAAATTTAAGGTTTTGTATTCACAATTTTAGCCACGCACATTGCTCAATTAGAAAAAAACACGTTTCTAAAAGCTAACTCTGGTAAAAATATGCCCAAATATTAACTTGGCTCTATAATTTATAACAAAATAGTTATTCTTGCCATAAGAAGCTGTGTATTTCTAGTATCCCTATCGTCACATGCGCCCCTAACGGCGATTTTCGAACTTCATTTAGATCATGAAATCTGGGCCCAAAATTTTTGCGTTCGATTCGCCTCCTTCTTTTAGACTCCATAATTGGTATCGAATATATGACAGTATCAAAAGGCATAGTTTGACGTTATCTTACTAAATTAACCTTTGAATAAGAAGACTAAGGAAGGAGCATATCAAAAATCTTGGGTACACCGCGATGGGCCTCAAATATGGCCGACTTAAATTCCGGTTTATCAGTGTCGTTCTAATTTTATTTAAAAAATGTAAAACTATGATGTAGTGTAGACGTGGGGTAGACTCAATAATTTGTTGTTTTATTTTAAGTTGTGAATAAATGTTGGTAGTTATTAAAATTGTTATAAAAATATATAATTCTAATAAAAATAGATAAGTTATAATAAGTATTTATTAACACAAACATCCGATACGCTACTGAAGCAGGTAAGTCAAATTAACGTATCTTTGACATTGAAATGAAATTCTTTGACATCTAATCTTTGACAAGTAATAAATAAAAGCTAAAGTGCAAGAAAAATATAGAATTTAGTTAATTTAAGTGAATTTCATAAATGATAGGTTTACTACACGTATGTATATTATATAGTCACTTACTAGCGAAAAGTTGTTCCCCCCCCATTATTTCACTCAATTTTTGCCGAGAACTACTATTTTAGAGTCTTTTTCGATAAATCGCGATAGTGTCACTGTTAATTTAAGTTCTGCCACAATTTCCATCTAGATTTACTACCTTTATACAACTATCAGTAGTAGAATAAATAATAAATAACGTAAAATAAGCTCCGTAAAGACTGACAAATCCACAAAATTTCAAATCAAATTCAAATGTGACTCAATAATTTGTTGTTTTATTTTACGTTGTGAATAAATGTTGGTAGTTATTAAAATTGTTATAAAAATATATAATTCTAATAAAAATAGATAAGTTATAATAAGTATTTATTAACACAAACATCCGATACGCTACTGAAGCAGGTAAGTCAAATTAACGTATCTTTGACATTGAAATGAAATTCTTTGACATCTAATCTTTGACAAGTAATAAATAAAAGCTAAAGTGCAAGAAAAATATAGAATTTAGTTAATTTAAGTGAATTTCATAAATGATAGGTTTACTACACGTATGTATATTATATAGTCACTTACTAGCGAAAA